GCTGCTTGCAGTTTTCGTCTTTGCAGGTTGCAGGAGATGCAGTCGCACCTGGTTTCGGGAATTCGGTATTTGGGCGTTGTGCTCCGGGTCATTCTTCCCCAAACCCTAAGCCCCAAACCCTGTTGTTCTTTTTGGTCTGTTCTTGTGCGCATCAACGGTCTCATCCGGGGTTCAGGGCTTCGAGCTCAGGGCTTCGAGGGCGCGTTGATACAGAGGCTCAGCCCAAACATGGTCTCTCAGTTTATAGGGGCCTAAACACCATATTGCTTTGGGGGTTCCTTGTTATCATTATAGTATAATGGGCCCCAAAGCCCCTATTCTAATCATTAAGGCCCCTACATTAGAAGCGTTTGGCCTGACCCCCCCCCAGCCTGCTGGGCTTGCCGAATCTGGTGGAGAAAGCCTTCTGCCCGCACTTGAAGTGCGTTGCCGAGGAGACCCCAATAACTAAACCCTACAACCGAAGCCAACACCCGTAAGCCCTCAAAACCCTAAGCCCAAAAACCCTAAACCCTAAGCCCAAAACCCTAAACCCAAAGCCCTAAGCCCTTCAGCTGCTGAAGCCTTCAACTTAAGGTCGGAAAGTTTTGATGTCTGAGGATATGTGGGTTTAGGGTGTTAGGGTTTTAGGACTTCAGGGTTTAGGGTTTAGGATATCTGAGGATATGTGGGTTTAGGTTTTGAGGTTGAGGGTCTAGGGAGAACGGGTTCAACCCAGAGGCGAGGCACAGTTCCCTGAATTTTGAGGGTCGCTTTGCTAGTGTAAGGAACCTGATGATACTTAACCCTAAAGCCCTAAACTCTAAACCCTAAACCGTCAGAATCCGACACCCGGACTTATGGGTGGTGGATACATCCCACAGCAACAAAACCTCACAGCCCCAGAGCCGAAATCTAAAAGCCCTGGACACAAGAGCCCTAAACGGTAAGTTACGACAGTAACAAGAGCCTGCCCCAAGACGCTGAAGCCATAAGACCCTAGACTCACATAGAAGCCTTTTTCGGATCTTGGTTGTAGCAACCGCTAGAAATCTTATAGAGACCTTTACAAGCCCTGACAGGAGCCAAAACCTGATGGAATCCATTCAAACCCAGCCAGTAAAAGAGCACTAAACCCGAAACCCCAAAGCCGAAACCCTGAAGCCGAAACCCTAAAACCCTAAACCCTAACCCCTGAAGCCTTAAACCCTAAATCCTAAACACTAAAACCCAGGTCCCTAAACCCTAAAACCCCAAGACCGTAAACCCTCGACCTTGATAGAAACTTAGCAAAGCAACCCGAGGTCGGCGCCGGCGCCGGCGCTGCCTGGCCGGACGGTTTGGAGGTGGGCCTCAGCGGTTTTCAAGCGCTCTCTATGAGACCTTTCCGTTGCTTTAGGGCTCACTTAAATGCCCATTCAAATATGAATATGAAGATATGTATCATTGTTTGGATGTTAGGGTTTAGGGTTCAGGGTTTAAAGCTTACTCAAAGGATCATGGGACTTTGTAGCTAGGTTGTTAGGGTAAATATACTTACGAGTGGATACAGTCCCAACTCAGGTCCTTGCAACGTTTACAGGAGTTTTTTGAAGAGAAGCTGGTTTGTAGATCAGTTTTGGAAGGTTTTTCACAAGGAAAGTGCCCTCAATGATGAAAGGGGGCTTCTTGGGTCATGATGCCCGTGTGATTAGGCCTGAAAACCCTAAACCGTAAACCCTAAAGCCCTAAATCCTAAACCCTAGACCCCAACTAAACCTTCGAGCTCGAAACTCTGCGTCCCCAAGCAACCCGAGGATCCCCCCCTCCCCGCAATCCGACTTAGTCCGGTACTCCCCTTGCCGGATTTAGTGTTTTGGGTTTAGGGCCTAAGCCCTAAACCTGAAGCCATAACCCTAAACCGGGCACTCGGAAGCAGGATGGAGAGTCCTCTTAGTGCTCGGATGCTTTCGCACTCCGCGCGCGGGGGTCTGAGCTGAGATGTAAGGTTTTGAGATTGTGGCCCACAAGGTTGGACAAGTTTACTCTTACTCTTACCTCCTTTGCGGTTTAGGGTTTATTGGTTCAGGGCTTAGGGTTCAAGGGTGGGATTATGTCTTTGTGTTTCAATGCCGGCGACAGCTCAGAAAAGTCAGGGCTGAATAGCCAGGATCAAGGGTACGTATTGTAGATGGCTGGAGCACAACATTGCAAGCATGTGCTTCGCAGTATGTCGTCCGAGATCATGACCCAGACTCAAATGCAGGATCCTTGAAAAGTACAATATATTCAGTAGGGTCTTGGGGTACATTCTAGTCTGCTATTCTTTATGGTAATGAACCTTAAGGAATGGTACTGGTAACTATTCCGACCTTTGGCTGCAAGCAACAAGTCCACGAGTGCCAACACCGAGACTCTCAAGCTAAGGCCCTGCCTTAAACCCTCTCGCAGCCATGAACCCCCAACCCAAATATCGAAACTTTAGACCTAAGCCTTGAACTCAGTCCTTGAACCCCAAAGTCTAGAGTCTAAACCTCAAACCCATCCCCCTGACACACGCTTTCGGCCACTCCGGAATTCCAAGGTCCGCCGGTTGTGCTGCCGGCGAAGGGGTTCCCCCGCCGAGCTTTCTTGTCGACTCAGAACCCAACAGTTTAGGGCTTCCAACGCCCAACGTCCAGTGCGCTTGCAGCAGGCCGGTGGTCCTTCAGCAACCTGCACTCCCCGCGACGACCCAGGCGAGAGCCTTCAGTTGTCCGGGTTACGTCGAGCGACTGCAGTGCAGCAAGGTTCAGGAGTCAGGGTTGGAGTTGGAGTGGCTTCTTCTCCTTTCCTTTTGCTCCTTTTTCCAGTCCACATAGCGAGGACCGTGAGCCCTAAACGGTTTACGGTTTAGGGGCTACGGGTTTAGAGTTTAGGGGTTTAGGGTTTAGGGGTTTAGGGTTTAGGGGTGTAGGGTTTAGGGTAAACCCATTGGAAGGGAAAGGGAGGCTAGCTTTGAGAATGAAGGGCAGGACTTGGAGGCGTAGTTGGCCTGACCCGCATTTATGGGTGACTCAACCATCGACCCTAAGCCTTAAACCCTAAATCAAGAAAGGGGTGCTGCTGGAGGTGGGTCTTTTTTGCAGCTTTCGGACCAGACTCCACCTGGAGCTGGATTTGCGGGTCCTTTCCGCGGTGTTTCAGGCCGCTCTTGAATGGAGAAACGGGCCGCAAATGATGCTCATGATGCTGGCCTTCTGGTTCGGCTTTGGCTCGCTTCATTGTGTGCTGAAGTGATGTCCGCCCTTGTTTGCTTGTCAGATTATGTAGTATCCCTTTTGGCGCATGCCGCTGCAGAGTGATTCAGGGCTCACCTAACACTTTCAGACCGTTCAGAGGGTGACTTGCACTCAGCAGCTTTACCTGCTTCCTGGACCATTCCGTGGCTGTCCAGAAAAGCGACAGTCTGTGATCAGAAAAACTGCGAAGGCAGCAAAATGCCAGTCTCTTTCGCGGCAGCCTCTGCCTTTTTGTAGTGCCACCACAGTACACGGTCACTCCGAACAGCGAAGGCAGCACAATGCCTGTCTCTTGCACAGCTTCTGAATTTTGTAGTGCCGCCGCAGTCCAGGGTTATTCCGAACAGCAAAGGCAGCAGAATGTCCGTCTCTTTCGTGAACAGCCTCGGCTTTTGTAGTGCCACAACAGTCTATGGCTACCGGGAAGTGAACGCAACACCCTTGATCAGAGCCAGATCGCTGCGAGCGCAGCAAGAGTCAGGCCCATGGCACAACCCTGCAGTGCGTGCACAAGCCTGTACCTTCCAGTTCCCGCCACCGTGGACGATTGCATGGCTGGGGTTGTGGCTGACGATGCCAATGACAATCGGACCACAGCCTCCTCGAGCCAAGCATCTCCGCACCGGCCAGCACGTTTGCAAGCCCGTGTTGTTGGTCTGTCCAGCTTTCGTCCCAGTCCCTCCCCAAGTCCTTAAGAACAGAAAGCCCTAGAGCCTACAGCCCCAAATGCCAGCCTCAGGTGTTGCAGCGCCAGACGAGCGCCGCCACTCATTTCGTCTCTGAGCCGATCGGGTCTGGCGACCCAGCAATCTCAGGAAGCTTTGGAGCCCCTCATATCGGGGGCTTCATAAGTAGAATAGGGTTTCGGGCAGAGGTTCTAGCAAGTAGGGTTGCAGAATAGGGTTTTGGGACATGTTCTAACGAGTAGAACAAGGTTTGGGGATTTTTCTACTATGAACATGTTAGAGACATGTACTTACTTCTCATACCAACCCTACATTACTCATGAAGCGTACACCTGAAAGCATTCAGCACGACCTAGGTAGGCTACCTGCTCGGGTTTCGGGTTTACATGTCTTCAGGGTTTAGGGGGTGTAAGCAAGGACCGTGGCCAAGACTATTGATAGCAAGTGCAGCGGTCAGAAGCAGCGAGAGTCTCTTGGCAATTCGTCATTCATCGTCCGAATTTCGCAAATTTCTTGAGGCTTAAGCCGTACTTTCGCGTCCACGGCCTGGTCCCATGCCAGCACTTTGAGAACCCATGATACAGACCTTGTGTTTGCTGCAAATTGCAAAGTGGGCCTGCGTCCCCCCTCGACACCCCGAAAAAACACATTTAAGAAGGAGCAAGAAATAACAAAGGAGCGAACACATCCACCTTTTCCAAACTTGTGAGCTTTTGCTTTTTCGCTCTTTGGGTGGTTTTGGCCTTTTCGGATCTTGCCGATCTTGCCTTGAAAGCAGCAGGGGTGCCATCCGAGACGACAAAACCATCCTAGGACGAAGGTCCCCACCAGAAGCGGGCAAGGCGCGTCATTGCCAAGGCTAGGCAAGGCCACGTCTCAGCTTTCAGGCCGACTGCATTTGCTGGGCCCACGGCTCCATGAACAAAGACAATCCAGATAGCCTTTTAAAGCAGGGAACTTCCCGTAGATCATAAGATGCTCTGTGCAATTGAAGGTATGTGCAGGTTGGGTACGTACCCCTCCTCCCCAAACCGCTCCAAGCAGTCCCCTGCTCTCGCCATATAGATCAAACGAGGCGCCCGTCCTCCTGCTTCGCAGCACCTGCGCCAGTTCCCGCCCTCCCCGGCGGTCAGGTGGCTGTTTCTTGGCGCCAAAAAAGGATTTAGGGTTTAGGTTTCCTTCAGTTTGTTCTCATTCAGGAGTCGAAAAGGGCTATAATTTAGGTGCTAGGCTTTGGGGGTATGTTGTTACACCATAAGTATAGTCAAAAACCTTCAGGCAGAATATTGGTGATTTGCTCAGGCTTCTGTATTATAGTATGGTTGGGATTCAGGGGCCTAGAGGAGTGTCTCAGCATTGAAGCCTTGACGTTTCTCCATTTGGCAGCTGCACGTGTTTTAGCCTTCAGCTTGGTAGCAGCACTCTGTCTTTCGTGCATTTCAGGGTTTGGCGTAGCTGCTTTTGACACATGCTTCTGGTGCGTAGGGCGTAGGCACACGACGCTTTGCACCTGTCGTGAATTTCTGTCACAGGCACCAGCAGAAGGTCAGGTGGTTTCAACCATTATTATTGCTATTAGTACTCTTGTTATTGCTGTTACTACGACTATTAATATTGATATAAAAGTAGAACCATGAACGCAGTTTGGACGGTCCCTAACTGTTGTTGAAGTCCCGCGTCCTGAAATTAACTGGGTTCTAGTCTAGTCAAGGAACTTAGCCTAAGTTCCTATAACAAGGAAACCCTGTTATTTACCGTAGATCCCTATTCTGCTAACTTGCAAATTGAGTTTCTGAACAAGACCCCCGCCATTAACCCAAAACCCGAAACCCTAAACCCAAAGTGCTGCAGGTGGGTAGTAGCTGCAAGTGCCCTGCTGCTCCCGGAACCTCACGAGCCCGGCGCCCCAGCCACCTCGAGAGACCCTCCCTGATTCGTTTGGTTTAGGGGTTGGGGAGTGTAGGGGTTTAGGGGGTTTAGGGGTTTAGGTGTTTAGGGTTTCGAAGCACATCTCATGTAGAACCTGAATAATTCAAAATGGCCGGTTTGATTTCTGGATATACCCATAAAGTAGTAGGTCCCAAAGACCCGTTCTAATCATTAGAGCCCCGCATATTTGCATTACATCATTCTCATTATCTTCCTTATCTTCGTCGTCCTCATCCTCCCAGCCTCCTCCATTCCATTCCTCCTCCCCTCCGCATCCTACGGCTTAGGGTTTAGGGCTTCTAGTTGAAGGGTATAAAGGGTTTAGGGGTTTCAGGTCCGACTGCCAGAGTTCTGAAGTTTCTTGTTCTCAAACAGATTGGGGGGTTTGGGGTTTAGGGTTTAGGGTTTAGGGTTTGGGCCCCTAAGCCGTAAAATCTTGGGAGGGCCGTTGCTGAAGCGATAGATGGCGCTTTTGCTGCTCATGGGGCAACATTGAGGGCAATCCCTTAAACGCACCAAAGCGCAACGGTTTAGGGTAAGGGTTTAGGGGTATAGGGTTTAGGGGTATAGCAGTTTAGGGTTTAGGGCCTCAACCCCAATCCCATAGTAGCACCATAGCCTCAACTTCACTTGTTCTTGTCCAAGGCCTGCCCAGACGTGCAGGCACACGTCGCGGGAGACACTGTCGCATGTGTCGAGTTTTCGGTTCTGCTTCTTATAGTAGCCTGAATATTCATTAACATAATTCCTCAGGGTTCCGGATCATACTTCCACAAAGAACACACAAAATGTCATGAATGCCCCTGAAATGAAGCTTTGGGGACGGCCTGGGAAAGACTGGGGGTTCTCTGCTCGAATGGGTCGTTCTGTTCTCCGCTCCGTGGATGCCGTTAAATGGCCCCCAGGAAATCAAACGTGCTGCGGGTCTACCCTCGTGTCTCGAAGTTTAGGGTTTGGGCGTGTCCACCCTGAGAGTACGCACGTCTTACCTGTGTCTCTATTCTCCTCACCATTATTAAGTTTCCATGCATGTCGCTGACTGTGGTCCTGTCTAACTACCATGCAGCAATGGCAGGAGAATATCAGTAGCCTCGCCCGCCGGGATCACCGGCAGTGAGCCCTCCTGTTTATTTCAGACCCTAAGCCCTGTCCTAAAGGTAAACCCCGCACCCAAGGCCCTAAACCATTCTTAATCTGGTTTTGACATAGGAAATGCCCCAGGCTGAAGAAGGTGATCACAATGTACACGTACCCCCCACATCCCGGCCCAAAACACAGATGCCAAACACGCCCGAGACAAGACTCTCCAGGTACGGTGTTTTCTTGAGGTCCCCCTAGAAATTCCCAAGCGGAGAAAGAGGATGGTCCAGTTTGCCGGGATGGCTATCCGGTCGTGAGCAGTAGCCAGACGTCCTCGTCGCTGTCGGGTTCCTTTAATCGGGATGGCCCTGGAAGAGTGGTGCAAGGTTAAGGGTTCACAGTTCAGGTTTTAGGGTTTAAAGTTCAAGTTTGAGGTTTAGGGTTTAGGGTTCAAGGTTTAATAATTTAAGGTTGCAGGTTGAGATTGAGGGTTTAGGGTTTCAGGATTCCTGTATTGCCTATGTATTGTAGCTGATGATATCTGTGACCTCAGTGATTATTGAAGCCTCAAGAGGAAAAGTCCAATACTCTCCGGACTATGTTTCGTGGAAGCCCTCAACTGGCAGTGAACTCGGCACCTTGATCGTGTAGGCCCATTGTTTCTATCGGCGTTGGTACTCCCAGGTTGTACATCTCGAACCCTAAATACCAAGCCTTAAATCCAAAGCCCTAAACCCTAGATCCTAAACCCAGCCCTAAACCCAAACCTCAAATCCAAACCCCTACATCCTAAGTTCTAAATGCTACATCCCAAGCAGCACACTCTAAACATCCCAGACCCTAACCCCCAAATCCTAAATGCTAAATCCAACCAGAAACCCTAAACCCAAGATCTTAACACCCAAATCCTAGACCCTAGACCTGAAATCTCAAATGCGAAATCCTACACCCTAAACCCTAAAATCCTACACCCTAAACCCTAGAACTTAAGTCCTAAACCCTAAACCCCAAACATTTCTAAGTTCTGTCCAGGCCGGAGGCTTCGGGGACGAGTCCGAGCAACTGGCGGTCTTGGAGCGGCTCAAGGCTGCGACCTTTCTTAAGGACATCCGAGGCAAGCTATATTTTTGTCTGTTGATATATATATATATACTACCCCCCCGGACCAACCTTACACATGAAACCTTATAGACTTTCAAAAGTCCAGAACTCACGATACCATTCCAAAAATCTTAAAAATGCCTCAAATGTCCAAAAACTCCAAAAATTCTACAAATTCCAAAAATTCAAAAATTTCCAAAATTGCCAAAATTTCCAAAAATTCCAAAAATTCTTGAAATTCCAAAAACTCCAAAAACTCCAAAAACTCAAAAACCTCCAAAAATTCAAAAAAAATCCAATAATTCCAAAAATTCCAAACATTCCAAAAATTCCAAAAATTCAAAAATCCAGACCTAAGTTTTGGGTTGCGAAATTCCGAAATTCCAAAACTTCTTTCGATATTTTCGGAATTTTTGGAGTTTTTGGAATTTCTGGAATTTCTGGAATTTGTGGGTTTTTTTGGATTTTTTCTTTGGATTTTTTTGGACTTTGAAAAATCAGCACGGTGGCGTTTTGGATGTTTTGCGTTATTTTCGGAATATGAGGATCAAAGTTTTTTTGGTGAACATACCATTTCTTACATGGTCTCTAACTTTGTATGCCCACACCCCTTAATATATGAGCAGGATTAGATATAGGATAGACACTACAACTAAGATTAATACTCCTACGCAATAAAAATCTCATATATATATATATATATGAAATACTCGTATTACAAATAAAACCAATACTAATTCTAATATTGACAGTACTATGCATACCAATACTTTCACTGACTCACGAATATGAATACTCATAGGAATATATAGCTAGTAATATTAGTAATAAGCTAATACTAATACTAGCATTAATAGCAAAACTAATTCTGGTGTGCAAACGAATGACCCCACGACTACTTATAATCGTAGTCTTATTAGCAATACTAATATACATACTAATGCTTGTACCAGTGCGAGAACATATATTAATACAAGTATTACTCCTGCGAGTCGAATTATTCCTACTGTATGCATAATATTCCTGCATTTATATTCGTACTCGTATTAATATTTTTTAGCATGTAGTTTAATGTCAGTATAAGTTCTTACCAACATTTATTTCCAGATTGATAATATTCCTACGAACAAACATTTTCATATTCATGTCAATATTAATCTAAATACTAGTAGTAAGAATATTCCTAATACTTACACGAATACTGGTTTTAATAATGAACGCTAATACTCTCACGAATACTTATACACATAGT